GTTGATTCAATTTTTACAAAGTTAACTAAGTATAAAATTTACAACAATAGGGATATATTGAGATATGTTGCTATAAATATTGGCCTATGCTATTTTGAGATGAATATATTCTACAAAACACTAGTTGGCAAAAGTAGAAAGAACTATTTATCTATAAATAGAGAGATAATCCTCTCTAAATTAAAGAATCTAAAAGAGGAAAAAAAATTCAAATTTATTAAAAAAAGTGTTATCATAATAATCCTTCCCTACTAGGTGTAACTGATAAATTATTAGTGATAATAATTTCTATAAGTATTGGCATTGTCTCTATCCTAAGCCTGCTGCCACTCTAAATAAGTTGCAAACTTAAATTATTCAGTTCAGTCAAGTATTGGCTGCTTTGTGAGCAGGACAATACAGGGCACAACTCCATTATTATAGTATTTGTTATAATGCTACTATGGTTGAGATAAATAATTGGCATGGGTAGTTTGTTAATTGGATTTAAGGTTTTTTGATTAGTAGTAGTCTTTTGATTGTAAAGAGTATTGATTTCAAGTTTGTGTTTGGATGTGAAACAAAGTTGTATGGTATTTTCTGGTTTGAATTTGTTTTGGTGATACTACTGAAACCCATGCAGGGCACTGATCTCATACTCTTCCAATCTGGTAGGTTGTTGTATTGTTTTGATTTAATAAGATAAAATGAAGTGTGATTAGTTGTTTGTGAAATGTAGATCTTTAAATGAGATAAACTAATTTCGGTTTTTTGTAAGTGTGAAGGTAATATTGACAAGGACTGAGAACTAATCAGAAAATTATGATGAATCTGGCACTAGTTATCATTAACAAAAAACAAAAACTCAAAAAAATAAAATGCTGTCTCTTGTAGATAAGATTGTGTTTGGTTTTGTATGTGGTTTTGGAATATATTAAGTAGTAAAGTATTTGAATGAGTAAATCAAGTAAAATTAGATTCAAACCAGATTTGAATCAAATGAATTAAGCTATACTATATTCAATTCAAATTTGAATTGTACATCTAAAAACAAATTAAATTGAATTTAACTAAAATCAGATCTGATTCGATCTGTTGTGATCCCTATCTATAGCAAATAAAACTACATAATCACTACTTGCTCTATCAAGAATAAATTTCTTTATTACCACTTGCAATTGGACTAACCATTTAATTTCTTACTTGTTCAATGATACCAAAAAATATTCAAGATACTTATAACTGATGCTTACTGCCTGAATACCAACTTACATATTACAGGGAACAGGACTTATAGCCAGAAGTCTTCTCAGGATAAGTACTACCAGACTGGTTTATTACTAAATTGGAATGAGACTAGACAGGGATCTACAGTATATAAAAGACACCAGATATTAGGAGAGGGATCACCAAACTTACTTATTGAAAGTGGACACCTTATACACCTTGCAACTTTTGGCAATCATCGTAATATCAATCAAATGATTATCACATCACAACACCTTTTCTAAAAATCACAATTTCAACATTTACTGTATCAGCGTGTAAAATGGCTTCTCATGAAAAACAGTACATTTACAGGTTATAATGTCAGATATCATATTAATTCTATTCAACCACTCTTATATAAGGTTGAATTGGTATCTTGTGATTTGACCTGTGAAGTATTAACCACTACATTATAGATCCACAAGTCCTTTTAGTATAAAAGTTTTTTACTATAGTTTCAAGATTTTAACAATATTCTTCAAGTTTTTTTGTTAGGCTTACAACAGATCTTCTATGATTAGCAATCTTTTTAATTTTACAAGGTCTTTTAGGAACACATTTGATAATTGGTTTGCATTAAAATATAGGACCAATAAGTTGTTATTGAGAAAAGATAAATACAGTATCTGTTTCTCTTGATATCAGCCATGCTTTTGTTGAATTTTTTGATTTGGGATCTTGGTATTTTTTTTGCTTTTATATATTGATTCTTTCTTGAGATATTTACTTTGGTTTTTTTGATAAACTTGTTTATTAAGGACTTGATAAATTGTTAAATTCTTCCCAAGAGATAGGAGGAGAGGTGCTAAGCTGTAAGTCTATATATTTGGAAAAATTGACTAGATTTTTCTTGATAGTCTTATCAATATTAACTTAAAGATTGATTTGGCCTTTCTGAATACAAACCAATCTAATTTGATAGAGACAGAATAGTGATCTGTTGGGATAATATTACATTCACTGACTTTGTATCAGATAACTTTGGGTGCCAAGTTTTGGGATACCCAGATTTGATTGATGTATAATACACTTGTGAAAGTGTGATGTGTAAAGACTTCTTTATTGAAATATTGGCCAATGTCTATATAATTATTGAGATAATTATAAATTGTTCATTTGTAGAGAATGGTGAAGGTACTAATGGATGGAGTTTTTTTTGAAAAGAAATTAAAATCATTAATAAAAATATAATATAGCTTGAGAATATTGACCATTCTGATAAATCATTATATATGGTTCACTGCTGTTCTTTTTTCTTCTTTGTTATGTGGAAGATAGATTTCAGATATAAGAATATTGGTCTTGCCTTTGAATTTCAGAATTACAGAGATACAGAATTCTGATGTTTCTACTATTTTAAACAAATAAGAAGAAATGACTTTTTCTATAATAATAGTGGTTCCATTTTTTGCTAAGAATGAATTGCCATAAATAACAAACCTGTTATTAATATTTTTTGTATAGAATTCATTCTTTTTTAATTTGGTCTTTGACAGAACAATACTGTTCTGTTATTGACTGAGTTAAAGAGGATCTGTAATTTGGTAAGGTCATTAAGTTCTCTTGTATTAATTGTGATTAATAAAATAAGGTCTTGAATATTATGATGAAAAATTATATTGGAACTGATATAGTCAGTGGTTTGATGCAATTGAAATGGGATAGGATTGGAAGTATTAATTGTAATAGGAATGTTATTAAGAGAAAGTGATAAGTTAAGATTGATGAAATGTATGTAGAGGTTAGGTGAATAGTTGATATAGGAGAAATTGTTTATGATAAGTGTGCTAATATAATTGTGGTTTAAAATTATAGAATTGTGATTTGAAATCATAAGAAATATTAAATTAGAAGGAAATGACATTGAACTCAAATTCTGGAAGTTTTTCTATAGTGATAAAAAATTCAGACAGTCTTTTGAACTTGAAGATTTTGCAAAGTTCAAGTATGTTGGATAAAAAAAAATTATTATTTGATAGAGGGATGGCAAAGTCACAGATTTCATTTTCTCTGAGGATATAATTAATATCTTGAGGATTTTCGAATAGTGGAATGAGAGAAATGTCAAATCATAATTTGAAAATTCTTTAAAATTCATAATGACTATGAAAGATTTTGATCATGCTTCTTAGATTTTGATCTTTAGGGATGAATTTACAGATACCTAGCAATGGATCTAGATCTAAGATGTTTCTTGATAACTATGGTTTGTTTATTTGGGGAACTTCTAAAAGAACCTATAATGGCCCTAGAAGTAAATAGAATAAGAAGTTTTTTTTGAGTACATTAATAAGAGTTTGTGCATTTTGTCATATATCAGTAAGAAGTTAAAAGGTGATACTTGCAAGCTCATTAGGAATTGATAATAAGTTATATGAAAGAGGTTTTTTAAGAAAAAAAAGTTTGAAAGGAGCTGTTTGAAGAAGTATTTGACTCTAAAATCTCTAATTATTGCTCCAAGGTTTTGCTTATAAGGGTTTAAGAGAAACAGGTACACAAATTCTGGTACAAGTTCTTTTGGAAAAAAAAGCAAGAGAATTTTTGGTGAAGGAAGATTGAAGTATAATTCAGAAAGTTTAAAAGGATAGTAAAGTGTTTTCTTAGTTCATCAATTAATCTGTCAGGTTTCTCAAATCACTTCTTTTCATAAGAGAAAAGAGATATGAAAAGGATTCTGATAGATTAATTGAATCTTTCAGAAAAGATAGAAATATTTCGAAATATGATTTTGGGAGAAGTCTGAATTTGCAAAAGGAATGCAGTAATTTTGCTACTTTAATTGTAGTTCTTCTATCTTTGATAGGAATTCTATGAGAAATTTTTGCTTTGGTTTCAGATGGAATTAATTTTGAATTGTTTGAGTGTACTGGCAGATTATTCTGAAACAACTTTTTATACAGGAAATAGGTTTGGGATGGATCCAAATCTTTTGAGTTTGCAAGATGATAAAAGTAGTTACAGCCAAATTCAAAATTTGAGCCAGAAGGGATGAAGAAAGCTCAAGAATATTGATGTACTGGATATATGCAATAAAAAGACAAGCATTTAGGAGCAGCTTGATTTTGGATCTTGTTTTCTGGTTGAGATATGAAATTTTGATTTTTTCTTTATAGTTGTTCTGAAAGCTTTTTTCTATTGCTTTATACTTTTTCTAATAGTTGCTTTTGAGCTCATCCAATCTGGAGAAGAGTCTAAAGAATTGTCTATCCCTGGCTTCGATTTTGATAAAAATAGTAAGATGTGGTTTTTGTCTAAAACTCTCTTTAGGTATTTTATGGATGTTAAAAATGAGATTGATAAGTTCTTGAGGTTTGTTTCTAATTAATAACAGTTTGGAGACCCATTGTACTATTTAACAATGATCATTTGAGATTTCTAGTAGTAGAATATCACTGTTATCCAGTTCACTGTCATGTTTACAATCCAGAAAGCTATAGGACTTGATATTTACTAATTTTGATAATAGGTTATTTTTGTATTCAGTAAGTTTGGCTCTGACTTGATCTTCTTTAGATTTATAAATATTCTTTCTACTAGACTCTATTATTTGAATATCTGGAGATAAAGCATTTGTTGGACTAGATAAGTTTTTTAGAGAAAAGCTTTGAGTTATGAGTGATAAGGGCCTAATAGGAGATAAAGAGAATCTGTCTAGTTTCTTAGGATTAATTATATTTAAAGAGCTGATGGGATTGAAAAGAAAGTTATTGTTGCCTTTTGAAGTTGAGTAGAAACTGATAGATATTCCCATATCTAAGTTGCTTAGTATAGGAAAATTTAAGTTGATTGACATGGATGAATTGTTAAAATCATTTATATTCAGCTGTGATAATATTTGATTAGATAGCAGTAAAACAATTTGTGGTTAGTTGGAGTTCATGCATGGAGTGAGTGATTCTGATTGGATCAGCAATATAGGAATCTGAGTTGATGTAGGATCTATGAGATTGAAAATTTGTATAGAAGCAGATTGATTTGCTGTACTTAGTTGGAAGCTTGCTTTTAGATTATATAATTCATTTTCCCTGCAAATTTTTTTCAATATTGACCATATTTTGAGAAATGTATTTGGAATAATCCTAATATTTACTGGATACACTGTTCAAGGCTCTCTCTTTAAGGCACTAATTATTTAGAAAGGTTTTCTGAAAGGAATCCTGAAAGCTTAGAAACTTATTCAAATAGATGGTAAGTTTGACTTTTGGAGTAGTGGCCTGGACCTGAAGGCTATTTTGATTTTTGATTAAAAAGTCAATTTGGATTACAGAAAAATTTGAAGATTTGGGATAAGTCAAGTTTTATATCAGAATAAATCATTTAGAAGGGTAGTTTGATAATAGTGGAGTGGTAATGAAGTTGAAGGGTTCTGTAATGACTATATTGTTATTTTCATCCATATATATTAATGCAAAGAGTTGTCTTCTTCTTTCTATAAAAATAATGTCTAATAGAGTAGAGTTGTTTAATACATGGTAAAATTTGGATATTGGTAGAACTTGAAGTGAATCAGTTGGAGTAATGGTTGGAAATTGGAATAATTGATTTGTTGATATTGTTTTTGGTGAGTTGTTGATATGTTAATAATAATAATGAGTTGTTAATATGTTTATAATGATATTATGTTGTTAACATGTTTGAGTAATAGTGGATTGTTGACATGTTTGTACTGTTGGTGAGATATAGATATGTTTGTTATTGAAAAGATATTGACATGTTTTTATTGCTGACATGTTAACATGACAGTAGTATTGAATTGTTTGTATTGTTGACATGATTGTGTTGTGGATGTGTTGATGTACTATTGTTGTTGACTTGCTTGTGTTGTTGACATATTTATATTTTGGTTGGGATGTAGATCACTTGATAGGATAAGCTGATTCTAGTTTTTCCAGATCAGAAAAAATTTTCCACATAACTTGAGTAATTGATATTGTTGAATTTGTTATTTGTTTATACTTTAAATTCTTTTGATCTGAATTTCTTTAGAGAAGGTTTGATGTCTTCTTGTTTTTTATTTGGTGGTGAGATTGTCTGATTTATTGGGTGAAATCTGGCCAGCAAAAATCCTTCTGGTATCTAGGAAGGTATAGAACCTTGTACATGACTGGCTAAAAGCTAGAAGAGTTGATATTGACTTTTTTTTTAAGTTTACTGTAAATTGTATGCTTTTTTTTTTCTTATAATAAATTTTATCTTGTTTAAAAGAACAAGCAAGCAAGAAAGTGTTAATATCAAAAGAAGTTTAACAAGTGTAATACTTTTGTTGACAGTTTTATCTGTGTTTGTTTGATTCTTTGGGTTTCTTTTGAGATAAAAATAATATTTATTTATGTGTTTTTAAAATTACCAAAAAAGGCAATTTTTAAGAATTTAGATTTTTTGCAATTAATATAATATAAGTTATATTGATAATTACTTATGAAATTATAAAAAATATCATATAAATATGAATACACATATATTCAATTAACTGAAATATATAATATAATAAATATAGAAGCAATTTATAATATTGTTTATATTAGTGATTTGACATGTTTAAAAAAATTCCATTCAGATTACCTGTTGGATAAACAATAAGTCACACAGGTAGATTATATTGGCTATTTACCTAGGTAACATAGAACATGTAATAAGAGATTTAATATAAAGGAGGCAACATTTTTCTTTATATCAAGCACATTAATAATTTCAAAAAAAATTTGTTATATTAATTTATTCTAATATTTATATTCAAACCTTAAAATATAAACTATTGTGTTTAACAAACATTAATTTATTTATTATCTTAGATAATAACAAATTTTTTTAAAAAATAATTTGATTTTCTATATCAGAAAAAAATTGTTTATTTAAAACTGAGATGGCAGAAATTAATAAATACTTACAAATTATTTTACTTAAAATAGGAAAAGAATATTAATTTGTATATCACTACTCATAAATATTAGCTGATTCAAGTAAAATTATTTTATTTAAATAATTGTTAATTTCAGTTCTTTTTTTTTTTCAGTAGATAAACATTATTTTTTTATTTATTTGTATATTTAAAATATATACTGTACATTATGAAAGAAACAATATCTTTTACATGCAATAGCAGCAAGTTTAATGCTAGCTTGTCTATACTATCTATACCTAGCTAATATTGAAAAAGAAATTTTAAAACTATACTATATACTAAATATAACTAAAGGTAGCGGCTATGCTTACTTACTCAGAAAATTTGATAAAACATAAAATAAAATGAAAAGTAAAAAAAAAAAGAAAAAATATCTGGGGCTACAATTATATGAGCTACTTGTGTTGAAACTATATTGATTAAACTATAAAATTTATATAAACAAAAAGAATATCTAAAAGGAAACCAATAGTTTGGTCCTTGTACCAATGCTGGGCTTAAAGATATACCACTTGTTGACATGAATAGTAGAATATAATTGATGTTATTTGTTGTTATGGTAGTTGTTATTGTGATGATTGTTATTGTTGTTATTGTTGTTATACTGAAAAACCGATTTAAATTGGTTTGGTTTTTACTTTGTTGTTTTAACAAAATTTGATTGGATGATTGGAGAGTGACGATCATTTGGAGAGTAAACTAATTTCAGTTTTTTGAACAAAAAATTTTGGAAATTTTGAAAGGGTGCAGTAAGTGTTGCCATAATAAAGTTGTGTGTGAAGGTTGCTTTAAAACAAACAATAGATTCAATAACTCTATTTGGATGTGTTTTTTGGAAAGTATTTGATTTAGCAAATATGATAATAATAATATATATGATTTCCATAATAGAATAAGGATAAGAAGGAGTACAAGAAAACAAAAGAAAAAAAAACTACTATGAGTTTTTCCCTATGTAACTGAAGAATAAGCAAAACTTTCAAACTTAAATAGACTTCGATCAGAGGTTCCATCCTACTGTACCAGTTGTCTTAAAGATTCTTGAATTCCTGAGTTGGGGCTTACTTGCAATAAACAGTATAAAGTATTTTTTCTTGATAAAAATTATTATAAAAAATTTTTTTAGCAAAGTAAACATGATCATGGGAGAGTTTTATTGGTTTCAATTTTATTGTTACTACTATTATTATTATTAATACTCAATATTTTTTTTATAAAACAAGAAGTGGCAGTTTTTTCATAATATGTTTCTAGTTCTTTAACAATAATTACATTTTGTCAAATTTTAAATTCAGCATGCAATTTATCAATTGTTTCTTTTTGTATTTTTTCAGACCATGCATTTATTAATTTCAACTGTAGGCCTAGTAAGGTAACCATCAGTTTAATATCTTCTGAATCTTGTTAATAGTGCCATAAAGAATTATAGATATTTCTTCAAAGTTTTGAAATTATTGTTTCAAGTAAAAATAGTTCTTTTATATTATTTTCAAAATTTTTATCATTAAAATCTTCATCTAATCTTTCATATAGAATAAAATAAAATTATAATTTTATAATTTTATATAAATTGTTAAATTTAAATTATTAATAATACATGATATTTTTATAAATTTAACTTACTATTATCAAAGTTATTACTAATAAATTTGTAAAATTTACTATCAGCAAATTTAAACTTTAATGCTTTAATACTTGGGTTGACAACTGAAAGAGTAGCATATTGGATTTCATTAAAGTAAGTTATTAATTCATCGAATGGTTTAAATATATTTATTAATTTATTTAATAACTGTTATTTATAATCTTTAAACATATAATAATTTAGTTTAATGAAATCTTTTTTAGCACTATTTTCATTTTATAAAGGTAAAGTCACAGAAAGCTACTCAATTGCTGAATGTAATTTTAAGAGTTTCTTTCAAGATTGATAAGAAGAATTTCAACAAGTCATTGTGTCTTCAATGATATATAGAATAAATATTGTTTTTTCATATGTTTCTATCTCATTGCTTTCTTTTATTTTGGATAAATTTTCAGATATACCTTCAAAATTATAAATTTGGATAGGTCATGTATTAATTTTGCTATAATTTGTCAAATCAATTTGTGCTTAATTAAAACATTGATGTTGTTTTGAAGATCAAAAGAATTTAATAAGTTTTCGAATCTGTCTAATATATGAATTTACAATTTTTAAAGCCTGAACAACTGTAAAGTAGAGTATATATGTGGCACAAGGTAGATGTTCTACACTACTCCAAATTCTAATCACTTTTTTTATATTTGCTTCATTATCAGTTATTATACAAAAGATTTTTTCAATTAATTCAAACTTTTCAACTTTAGTATTTAAATACTTTTTGATTCATTTACCAGTATATGAATATTCAATCATTTCAATAGCTATCAATATATTATATACTTTAAAGCTAAACATTAATCAGTGAAAGATTATATCAATATATTTATTATTAGTGTAGGATATTCACAAGTCTGTAGTTATAGAGGCTGTTTCACAAGTAGTAACAAATAATTTTTAAGTTCTACAATACCTTTTTGATAAGCAATATCAATTTCTTTTCTAATATATTTGTAATATAATAGTTTAAATATAGAATCAAATCATTGTATAATTTTTTGGTATCTTTTTTTAGATATACAGTAATATTAAATAATAAAGAATCTGTGATTAATCATTTGGTTGTAACTTATCTTAACTCTAATTGTTTAGATATACTATATGATATTACTTTTTTAATTATTTTATCCAAATTTAATTAACATTTTTTATTCAAACTTTTATTTGATTCTAAAATGCCATGTGTTAATTGTAGATATAATTTTATATTTCCAGTTTCTCTATCATACTTATAATATTTGTTGTATTCAATTTTCTTACCTTTTTAAGATATGATTATCTTACAAACAATTTATTTACTCTCTTCGTCAAAGTGTTTTCAAACATAACTTGATTTTCTTTTAGAATTAATTAAATTAGAAAGATTTACTTGAATCCTCTTTGTATTTGATTCTTTTGCAAATTTCTTTATAGATTTTTTTCTGGTTATACTAGTAAAAGATTCGATATTCTCTTGAACATTGCTATCAGAGATATAGTCAATATTAAAGATATTACTATTCATATTCTTAATAATAAAATAATTCAAATTTTTATAAAAACATAATAGAAATATTATAAGATAGAAACAGACTACTTTATATATAATTATATCTAATATAATCAAATATCTTTCTAATTCATCTTAATAAATTCTTATTTATTGATTAATGTTAATTTTTTTTTTGAAAAGAGCAAATAGCTATCACACTTTATTATATTTATTATATTTTCACTTGCAAAACAAGATACAATATCAATAATATGATATATGTTTCTCTTTGCTAGAAAAAGTTTAATGCAAAATTTATAAAATAAATCTAACCTCTGTACTCTTTTGGCACTATTCAAGAAATACAGAAAAAAAAAAATTTAAAATCTATATTATTGTTTTGAATGGCATCTAACTATTTAAAGATAAATAAATATCTAATTATATAAAGGCACTGCCACCAATCTATATAGATTGGCCTCCAAATTATAATTAGAATTGGCATGCCTACTTTTCAAATATGACTTGATATACAACAAGCAGGGTAGTATTGAAAATGGTAAGAAATAAATATCTTTTTACATGAAGGTGCTACAGCTACTTTATACAGATTTGTCTTCAAGTCACAAAAAAGATTTAATATATCCATGCTTCAAGTATGGCAGAAATATCTTATGGATGAAGTTCATATTAATTTTTTTAATAATACTAAAACCTAACCTTGTACAATAGACCTACATTGTTTAATAAATAAGCAAAAAACTTTTGTTGTTGTCATCAGCTCATTTTCAAAAGTAATTAAAATTTCTAATCATTATATATTACTCTACTAAGTTTCCCAATCATCAGCATAACACCTGCAACTAATCTAGCTTATTGCTAGTTGCATTGGCATTAACTGCCATTTTACTCTGAATATTGTAAGGTACAACTCCTTGGATACTTTTAGATAATAATAGTTGTATAGAGGTTTCTTGGGCATATCTAGTCTAACTACTAATTAGTAAACAATGCTGAGTTTGATAATGATGATCCTGTTAATTTTTTGAAAGGATAAGTCATTTGTTTTTTTTCTAAGAGACCATAAAAGAGGAAAAATTTTCTGAAGTTCACATCCTAAGAACAGTTATCACTTCTTAATATGGTTCTTGAGAAAAAAAAGTTAACTGGCCAGAGATAAAAAGAAAATGATAAGGGAAGGAATAAAGAGATATGGAAAGAAAAAAATGAAGAGAGAAAAAAAAGAAAGACAAAAAAAAAATAAACAACTTAAAAATTTCCTAAAAAGAAAATTTTTAAGTGTAAAAGAGTGAATGGGAAAAGTTTTTTTTTTTTATTAATATTGATTTATAATATATTACTTTTCTATCTAATTTTAGTATAGTTAGGTTCAAAAAAATATTAGAATTGCAATATTAAATCACTTATATTTCTATATTATATTTCTTGAATACCTATTTGAGAAAGAAAACTTACATCGCAATATTTTTTTAGAAGATTTCAATTCAATTACTTCTAGAATTTAAGTTTGATTTATTTCCTTTTCTGATTTCTAACTTATCTTATACATTTTTAGTCTAGTTAGTATTTTATTTCTGTTTATTAGA